TTGTAAAACTACACAGAACTGCAGTGTTAATGTATACCTGACTCAAAGGTGATATCCACACATCTTAGTTCGAAAGTAAAAAATTTCAAAAGTGAAATTTCGGTAATATACAATTTTATTACGATTGAACTTCTCACTGTTTATTTTACACAGATAATATAACAGTACTTACCGGAACTTCTTCAGCAAGTAACAAACTTCAATTGGTCTAAGCTAAGGCACCTGGCACCTCGATTCACCATTTGTGTATACAAATTGGAACAACTCCTCCTGCTTATATACCTGAAGGGACCTTTTGGTGGGGATGTAATTCTAGGAATCAATTAAGTAATCTCGGGTCTTTTAGGGTATACCTACCTCATACATATATAGGCCCCATGTTACAATAGATTAAAGTTGGATTACAAACCAGGTAGATTTAAGAGACACTGTAACAATAGGATTTACCGCAGCTCCACCACATTGTTAGGAGCCCAAAATTATCATAAAAAATTATGAGGTACCTACATCCACTAATGGCCCACGTTTATTGAGTTATTAGAGCTTAAATATATATGCATTCAAATAAGTTAAATAAAAGTTTCAAAAGCAGTTTTACATTCTAATATCAATCAACTGCCGTTTATTAGTTCTTATATAAACTCAGGTCTCCAAATTATTATCTAAAGAAATTTCTTTAGATAATTAGTATTAAGTATTACTTTTCATTGAAAGGTTATTTTTACATGCAAGAAAAAATTTCAGTACTTTGCAGATTGGTTTCTCGGCTTATACACAAAAATTCCCGAGTTGAATTTTTACTTTACACAATTTTGTGATGACATCATCAATATTTTTGCAAGAACACGTTTATCAGCTTAGATCGGTGCAGTGTAATACTAAAAACAAACGTATTACATTTCAAAAATTTCTGGGAAAATGAAATGAACTGTTATTGATTTAATCAATAAAATAAATTGACTCATTCATTGATTTTTTTGAGCCACTTGTATAAGCAACTCTAAAAAATAATAATGCAAGAAAAAATCACAAGTACAAACTTGTCTTATTTTGCACATTTTAGACAGATTTATTCGGCAAAATTTTGAGATGACGTCATCAGTTTTTTGGGGAAATAAACAGATATATTTTGATTAATAATAACTTACCAAGCTTACGATAACTTTAAAAGGTCTGCAAGATTTCCAAGTATTGAGTTTTGCAATTCTTGACTTTTTCTATAAAATAAATTGACCGGTTCATTAATTTTTTTGATTTCCCTTGTTTAAGTAAATCCAAACAATATGAATGCAGTGATAAATTACAAGTATAACTGATCAAATTTTACACATTTTAGATAGTATTTATTCGACAAAATTTTGAGGTGACGTCATCATTTTTTTGGGGTTGCTAGGTAAATACATTTAGATTACCACGCTTACAATATCTTCAAAACGTCTGCAAGATTTCAGAGCAGTTCGTTTTGCAGTTCCTGATTAAATCAATAAAATAAATTGATTCAGTTATTAATTTTTTTGAAACACCATGTATACAAGCAAATCTAAAATATAATCGGTTTAATTGTCAAAATTTTGAGTCACGAATTTTTTGAGGAGGAGGGATAAGCAAGTTTATTTTGATAAAAAATTTATCATGCTTGTCATAACTTTAAAACATATGCATGATTTAAAAAAAAAGTCATAAACTACATCTGTAGGACTATGTTATTTTACGAATATACAATTTAAAACCCATTTGCTATGTACAATTTTGATGTGACGTCATTACATTATTGATGGGGATGATTAGTCAAAGTTGGTTAGCATTTTACCATGTACATAATATTTATAATACACATAAAATTTGGCATATTTTTAGAAATGTTTTTATGTACTTTTTTGATAATGTTTTAGTGTACAAATATAGAGATTCTATATCGTGTTTATTGTGACATCAAGGATGACTCAGGAATTTATGTTGTTAATTATTATTTTTCCGTTTTTTACCACATTGCGGCACATTTTTCAAAGCCGCTTTTGATACCAGAATCATTTATAGACACGTTACATTAAGTTCACGGCATTCGATTGTAGATTTTCAAAGTTAAACTGCAAAATATTGTTATGTAATTTTGATTTTTTTTCAAAAATCTTAATGTTTGTGTAAAAAATCAACACGGATTCTTAAAGCACAAGTGTAGGAGTATTTTATTTAATAAAATTTAAATAACATTAAACCTAACATATATTAAAATTTGACAACAATCGGTCAGATAGTTTCGAAGATTATTTGTCTAATAAGAATTGACAAAGGACAGACAGACCGACAGACGGAAACGGGAGACCTATCTTTCCAACTCAAAGTGGCATGAAATGTCGAGAAAACATGAAAATAGGCTGTCGCTCGATGGATTCAATTACAAAATTTCTTTAGCTTGTAGTTGGAAAGTAAATCGACTTTAATTTTCAAGGTTGTGGAATTTTGTAGAGCAAAGTTTGTTCTTTGTAAATAAAAATAACGACACCAAAAACAGGCATCTAGAAATATGGTCGTATACGAATTGAAGTGCTAATTTCGCTTAAATATCAGGCACTCTGTTATATGGATAATTTTGACCGAATTGCGGTAAAAAGTTTGCTTATGTATCAGGTATTGTAAAGTAGCCCAAAAGCTGTAAGTTATATGATCACCATAAAAGTAAAATAATTACCTCCTTTGTGTCGTTCGCACTAAGCTTACTTCAAAACATATCTTGCTCACATTTAACAGGGTCGGCTTTCAAAGCGACTGGTTATTTCGGAACCCTCTGCGGCTGCAGGTAGTAGCCGATTAACGGAGTGGTGGATTTTCATATTTAGTGAAAGCTTAACTTAGTAACAACTTAACTTCGACACAATGGGATAATTTTATGATGGCCATATAACCTTATAGCTTCTAATACTATACGACGAAAGATATTTGCAAATGACTCCAATTATGGGAATTGCAGCCGTAAAATTTCGGACCACTTCGAAAAGTGCACCGAGCATAAAACTGTCAATCAAGATTACTCGCCACCTTTACCTTCCCAGGACCGTATTTGTTTCAATACATGAACAGGTAGATTGTTAAACTGACCGCTTTCAAGAAATTTAATCTTAGAATTAAATTAAAGTGTGGTTCTTAAAACTTTTTAAATCTTTGCAAATACATATTTCCTACAAAAATCCCAATAAAAATTAACTCTACCATGATTCATATATGAACGCTCCAAAATTTGAAGTCCGGCCCTGGCCGAAGTCGTACTTTCGTTGCGAAGGGTTTGTAATGGTTTTATTGCAGGTTGCGGTCCAAAGTACTAAAGACCCCTCATAAAGTAATTGATGGCGTTTGCAATTATCTTTCCTAGTACTTTAATATATTTAAACAATGGCCAAGTCGGCCGCGCCTAATTGTCCTAGACCGTTAATTGTACGTGTCCTTTCCATGGATATAGGGATCCGCATGAAGCGTCGCAATCATAGATCAGATGGAAATATATGGGCGACTCTCTCACTCAAAACGTATATTGAATTTCTGCGCCATCTATATTTGCCGCCACAAACCTCAGTGGCCAAAATTAACAACATGTGTTGGAAACCTGTAATTATGTACAGGGAGGTTATGACCGGGATATTTAAATCTTTTATTTTATCTTTTTTTACTTTGTTTGAAATGTTTAATATAAACACAAAAAACATGTGGAAACAAAATATATTGAAGCTAATTAACAGTAAAAAATAAATAAAAGTCACATACGAACAATTAAATATGAACTATAATATGTATATGAATTGAAATAATAATATAAAATAAAATACGTAAATAAAGTAAAATTGAAATAATATGTACTACTCTTTTCGTCTTTTTAAATATTTCTGATAAGCCAAAGCGACTACAAGATCTTGAGTAACATACCGTAAATCCTTACCAGACAATTTTTTATTCACATTTCTAAGATATGAATATAAAAGCACGTTTACGCAAACGTTAATAAATTTGATGGCATTTTCTCTATGTTCTGAGCAGAAAAGTGTGAGAATATTACTATTGTTAGCCAATAATGTTTGGAGTTTTCTTTTGATTCCATAACATAAAATATAGTTTTTAATAAACTGTAACAATGTAATGGTAACTTCCTTAAAAATCCTGAAAAATTTACTAGATGGATGAATCAAGTGACATCCTTCGTAAGTCCTCTCAGAAATTAGCAGGTTTTCCAACATAGTATCTGAACTGCACATTATCTGTTTACAAAACTTGAACGGGTGTTTGCTCAGAATTTTTTTCCCTGCATATCCAGCTACATAGTTCGATGCAAAGTTCACTACAGTTTCTGTTGCAGAAATTTCAGATTGCGGAAAATGGGTAAACGGAAAAATGATACCCGTTTTTCAAATGTTCGAAAAGAGGTTCATTAATACCTGCCCGGAATGGGATGCTATTTAACATGGTACTAAGTACTTCACTTGACGGTAAACTGAAAGTGTTTGATAAAAATTTATAACTTTTTCTACTTTGTTTCATTATTGCTAAAGTCAAAATTTTATCGTCGATAGTAAATCGCCGTCCCCTAGATTTGAATTTTTGGTTTCTCAATTGTGACATAACGAAGTTTGGTGTAATTTCATTCACATCTTTTAAATACCCAAGTAATCCTTTGTAAATAATAATTCACCTTGCTCCTGATTGAACTTTGTTTATGATGCAACTAAGATGCCACTTGCTGCAAGTACTTTGCTTTTTTGTAGAAAAACTTAGTTTGAGGCAGTAGGTCTTCTTGACGGATGACTCCACCAGAACGAAGTGATCTTTTATTCCTCTTAAAAGTCTTTGGATTTAGATGGAGATATGAAGACACATTAGTAAAGCAAATGGTTAATAATAATTAATAATAATAATTACAACAATATACATTAACAAAATTATTTACAGCAGTTATTACGAGTACCAAAGTAATTCCCTTGTTAAAGATTTATTTAAAAAATTAAAAACAAACTTACATGTAAGACGTTGCAGGTGTTCATGTTCTGATGATGAAGTGACCACATGTGATGTACTTGGGAGATATACACTCGTTTCTTCTTGAACACAGGGATCTATTAACAAATAATTGCAACTGATGAAATGGTAATAAAAAAAAAGAATGATTGTACCTCTAGCCATCTCAGGCAAAAACAGAGACCTTTTTGCGCTCATTTTCACCTTGCCACCATACACTTTCTCAGGAATCTTTACACTGCAGGTTTGTGGTGAATGTGTCGATGTTGAAGGGATCATTTGACGAGACTCTACGACATGACAAAACTAACTGTTTGGAAATATTTAACATTTAAATTATTAAACCTCTTAATTTTCGGGGGTGATAAAAACAATTTTCCTCACTTGAGGGTTCATGAAATGCTAAAAATAATTTTATTTCATTTAGCTGGTAAAAAAATAGATAACAACTTACCAGGCAAGTTTAAAATGCGAAGACTATATCTTAATAGCCGCCTGTTGTCATCTTTACATACACGTGAAAAATGATTTTCACATACGACGTAATTTTTATGTAAAGATTTCATTCCCAAATAGATTTTTGGATTTCCAACGCGATGAATCCATATATCCGCAACTTCCTTTCGCCTTGGAATAAAGAATCTAAAAAAAAAAGATACAGATTTTGTTACTTCATCCTGTTATCACGTAACATTTACATCAACGTAATAAATTTTAATGTCGAATATTACAACTTATCTGCGACTAGTTGTATCTTCACAACCAAACAAACAAGAAGTTTTATCGGAATGCTTTTCAAACAACAAACATTTTCTGGGAATTTCTACAGGGGTGCCAACCAATAGTTGGTGACAATTGTTGAAAACTCCTACTGTGCTGTCCTCTATGATTTCCGCCCAGAACTAAATGTGATTCAACCAATTTTGTATGAGTGCCATACCTCTGGTCGCAATCCCAAGCCGTTAGTGTACGAACCTATCTATTCTACAAACATGGTTCCGATCTAACAAAACTGGACCAACTTCTATAAAAAAGTGTATCCACAACGCCGTTCGAAAATGTGGTTGGCAGTTGTAAGAATGATTTGGACAAGTAGATACGTCAGTCCATTCGTCCCGGAATGTTAGAACGCGTGAGATGTTTTTTAATGAACAGAATTGACAGGTGCGGCTGGTGCCGGGGGGCTCAAGGGCACGTGCCTCCCCAAAATTACAACGTCTGCAAACATACTGGACATGGTCAATAATAATAATTTTCAATATTTAAAAAATTATCCGGAAATTTGTGTCATAATTGTCAAAACTAATTTTTTTATCTCGCTACATTTAATAAAATATATCAAAACTTGTTATTGCTGATAAAACCTGGGCACAGAGACCGTATCATGGCTGATTTAGACGTTTTGTTTACGCCGTTGCCGTCTGATAGAACTGGACTGGGGTCCCGTTTCGACCGTGCTCGGTAGGATTGAGTTACTATCGCGGGTTTTAATTTTCATTCTGCACGAATACGTATGATAAATATTCTTGGATAATCGTCTCGGTAATACAGACATTCGGAAACAACTACACACCGCCTATATTAATAATACTCGTGCACATAACGCAAGGGTCGACAAAAATAGCCTTATATTACGCCGATTGGTAATGTGCATAAATGAGAATTTGTTTTAATTATTTAAAAAAATAATCAATAAACTTTTTAAATATTGTCACTAGTTTAGAGGATATCTTTGCTTTATATCGTACCTTTCTTATTTTCATTTTTTTTAGCTTTTTCGCGTTCCCTATACGCTTTTTGATACTCTGCTTTGCCATTGTTACTATATTTATTATTGTTTTGACGATTTGAAATTGTATGAAAATAAACGTGGCTACTCACGAGTAAAATGTTTCTATCATGTGCGTATTCGCCACGTGCTTGTCCATGAATTCATATAGTATATAGTATGCATTGGCGGGGTGGAGTGGTAATAGAGAGAGAAGGGATGAGAGAACGAAAAGTGTTTAGGACATTTTTTATATTTTGTCGGTGCGGTCTCCACGTGTTGGCGGTGTCTTTGTAAGGCAGCTGCACGTGTGCGGACCTTCAACCTTGTGTGGCGGCACAATAACACGTCGGTAAGCAGAGAATAAATAAGTCGTCTCGTGGTGTAGTGGTCAGCATACCTGCCCGGAGAGCAAGGAGACGGGGGATCGAATCCCACCGAGCCACAACATTTTTTCTCTGCTTACCTACACTTGTAAGGCGGCCGCCGTCTGAAGTGCGGCTCGCACCACCTCTGGTCGCGCCTGCCCACGTCCCATTTAACGGTTTTATTCCACGGAATTTTTTCCACGGAGTTTTTCTTGCGGTTTTAGGATCACATTTGTTTCAGTTCGGTCGTGCAGTAAAATTCCTATCTCCTCCAAGCCTGCCGTAAGGAACTTCGTTCCAAAAAAGAAAATAAATAGACCCAAGAAAAAGGAAAATTAAATCCATACTTATAAAAATTGTGGAATGTTAATTCATAAAATTCGAAAAATAGAATCATATTCAAACTTAAGAGAAGTAACAATTTGGTTGTTGGATTAGACTAGTAAATAACATTTTTTACTCATATAAAAAAAATTCAAAAAGAACTTAAGTTAATATTTAACAATATACCCAAACAACACTATCAATTGTTTTTACGGAGTTATTGTTGAGTAAACTTAGCAAAATACACTGTTATTAATTGATCGTTTATGTCTCTGTATTGCAGCGATCCTTTTTAAATTCACAAAATTGAGCATCAGTCACACTTTATATACAGGACATATAAAATAATCCTCCTTGTCTCAGACAAGATATCCTTCTTGTTCATTAATACCATAACCTTTTCCAGAACTAGTCAGGATTCGTTTCTGAGCAAGAATTTGAGCTAGGAGACCTCGGGGATTCTGTCGCTGGTCTGGCGATGGAACGGCATCTCGCTGATGGCGGAGAAGAGACTCATTGGCCGGAAGAGCCGGTGGCACCGGGTTGCTCATATGACCCACGAGAGGAAGTGGCGGTATTTGAGGTGGATCTTGAAAATGTAGAGGAGGTGGTGGATACGAAAGATAGCGGTCGGGCATGTTGTGACAGGACTCGTCCGCTGGAGGTGCTGGCGATGGGAAACTTACGTACGACGCTTCTGCTGAAATTTCATTTACATAGTTTAAAAAATCATGGCCCGAATGTACTTTGTCAAAATGTGTTCAAGTACGGAGTTGTGCAATAGATAATTTTAAAACATCGAGATGAAGACAATAAATAATTCAGTTTGTTTCAGTGAGTTCATACTTGATGACACCGTAAAGTTTATAATTTATTAATTTAGAATGTTACAGAAAGGATAACGGCGTTGCCAGTTCGTTAACATTTGTTTGATTATTTTAAAGCTAAGTTACTTGAGCCGACTTGAACTAACCTAATGGAATACGAGAACGTTACAAATACATCGATTACCTATCTATAAAGATAAATAAATTTAATTCGTTGAAAGATATTTGTTTTAAAAATAATGTTACCATAATCTACACAGATGCTGGATTTATGCAGACCATTTGTTTCTCTTTGTTGAAAAAATTTGAAGACACTATGAAAAACCATATTGTTTAAATCAGCTTTATGCAGTTATGTTACTATGTAATAATTACGAAATTTCGAATGGCTTTCGAGTAACAAAATGATAGAGAATAGACAACTATTACAAAAAAATTTAAAAAAAATTAAATTTAACGACAAAAGGTATGGAATAACAAAAACTGCGCACTGTGTACTTTTCTTAAAGAATTGCAGATGTTTTGAACGAATTTTTACTATTAGACAGGACACAATTTTTTTGTATTTTATTTTTGAGACATAAAATCATATCAAATAATTTGTTTTATTAAATATTATGATATGAAATCGTAAGAGAAAACACCAAAAGTTATATTTCTGAGATTTTTGAACTGATTCCTTGAGTCTACAAACGACAAACGTTGAAACTATATCTAATCGTTTTCTTTTCGCCAAATGAATCGATCGTGCATATCACAAGAAGTTCAGAATGGTTAATAGAAACCTTAATATAACTCATAAATGTTAACAAAGATTTGATCTCTAGCTAAAATGTGAAAGTTTTCTTGGCATTTTTGAGTTCATAGGATGTAGCTAAGGTACAATTCACTAAATAAAAAATAAATACATTTTCCAATATACATATAAGTGTTCCAAGAATCAGGTGATAAAATTGTTTGACGCAGTTTAGGAAAACCTGTCCAATCTCGATTAAAGAACGTGTATGTGTGTCCAATAAAAATTGTCTCAGATAGGAGAACGAGGAAAGTTCTTTAAAACGTAATTATTTAGATAAAGAAAAATATATCTATACATTTAAAATTGTAAAAGTAGAGTAAAAGTAACAAATAGTGAATGATATTTTCATTTATATAATAATCTAAACTGTTTAATCTATAGAAATCTGAACACACTGTCTATCTGCAATTAAAAAAAAACACTTTAGTGCTTACTATAAGTCTTCTCGTAGACTAAAAACTTTTGGCACCAAAATATCAAAAGATATTTTTAGAGGTTAACATTATTTGCAAGTTTTGCAACACTACAAATTGACTAGTTTCAAGCAGATAATAATGTTTGCATTTTTCAAATAGGCGATCGTTAGTAGGTAGATAGGTAGCAAGTGACTTAGTTACCTGTCATAGTGGCTTGAAAATCAAGGCTTTGGTTATCTCTAGCTCTAGTCCCATCATGTGTTTCATGCTGGTGGTGATGATGAGGGCAAGGAATAGTGTGATTTTTGTGAACCATGTTAGGTTGCATCTGAGGCTCATAACTGGGACACACTGGGTGCGCACCTGGGTAGTCCGGTTGTTTAGGGCCATCCTCCTGGCAAAAATATTCAGGTGTTACTTTGCCTTCCATTTATATCGTTATTACTATTTATACTGACGAGACAACGAAATTAGTCCGTTGTTTTAAAATTATGTGTGAAAAAAATTACATCATATTTTTGTTTTGTGCAGTTTAGTGGAATCAATTTCAAAGCCGACGTCAAGATAATAAATAATCGAAACATTTTTAATAAACAACATGTATTACTTTAATTGATAAATGAGCTATTGTATCTTCATTTTTAATAACTGTAATGCAGTTGGAGCTATAATTATTCAAATTATGTACACTTTCTTCAAAAAATCTTTGAAATCTGGTATATTTAGACGCAGTACATATATATGGAAATTTTTAAAAGAACCGAAACAAATCTGGCCTACTTCCTGTTTACAACAAACTGTATTTATACCAGAACAATGTGTACCGCATTGAAAATACATGTCTGTGCATAATAAATTACCATATATATTTACATACGTGTATATTTTTTAGAAACACCTACCCCCGTGAATAGAACATACATATGTATGACGTAAACAAATGCTACTTTTCGTGAAAACTATTACGACGTACAACTACGTAAAACTAAGACAACCACTTAATTTTCATTTTTTAGTTCATTGTTTCCTTTTTACTTCCCGAGCGTAAGCAAAGGAAGTATTGTAATCGAGTCCGTCGGCCGACCCTCTACTTTTACGTTTTCTCGATCTTTCATGACTCCTAGAATACGAAAAAATAGGTCTCCCATTTCCGTCTGTCTGTCCGTCCGTCTGTCCGTCTGCCGTCCCGGATTTTTATTAGACAGATAATCTCCGAAAGTACTGGACCGATTGTTGTGAAATTTTGTACTTATATTAGGAATATAATGTAGATGGTAAAACGCTAACCAAAATTTGTCTAATCATCCCCACCACTAATGCGATGACGTCACTTAAAAATTGTACATAGTAAATGGGTCTTAAATTGTATAAAATAACATAGTCCTACACATGTAGTTTACGATTCCGAATTCAGTTTTTACCCGAAACGTCCAGATTTTTGGAAAAAAAATTAAAATCATAAAACAACATTTTGCAATTTAATTTTGAATTTGCAAATTCGAATAATTTGAATGTTTTAAAATGTTGCAGATGTTTTAAGGCTCTAAAGAGCATCATAAATCTTTAGTCAAAATATATTTGGTTATCCCCTCCAAAAACTTGATGACGTCAGCTCAAAAGTTTGCCGAATAAAGCCTATCTAAAATGTACAAAATATGATGCGTCTGTACTTGTGATATGTCACTCCATTCATATTTTTTGGATTTGCATATACAGGGTGACTCAAAAAAATTAATGATTGCGCAAAATTTATTTTACTGATTTACTCAGGAACTATAAAACCGAATGCTTTGAAATCTTGAAGATGTTTTAAAATCATCATAAGCATGGTAAATTTTTGGTCAAAAGGTATTTGGTCGTCCCCTTCTAAAAAATTTATGACGTCACCACAAAATTTTGCTGAATAAATCCTATCTAAAATGTACAAAATATGGTGAGTCTCTTCTTGTGATTTATCATTCCATTCAAATTTTTTCGATTTGCATATACAGGGTGACCGAAAAAAATTAATGAATGCGTCAATTTATTTTATTGAGTTAATCAGGAACAACAAAACCAAATGCTTTGAAACATAGGAGATGTATTAAAGTTATCATAAGCACGTTAACTTTTTTATCAAAATGTATTTGCTAATCCCCCCTCAAAAAATTTGATGACGTCAGCTCTAAAGTTTGCCGAATAAATCCTATCTAAAGCGTAAAAACATGATGAGTCTGTACTTGTGATTTATCACTTCATTCATATTGTTTAGATTTTCTTAAGAGGTGGCTCAAAAAAATTAATGAAGTCAATTTATTTTATTGATTAAATTAAAGGCAACACTTATTATTAGTATTACATTGGACCAACCCAATTTGGTAGACACAAAATTTTTTAAAGGAAAAACTCGGTTGAAACATAAGGGTAGCACGCTTATTTACATCGACTTTAACATTAGAGACCTGCATTTGTTTTATACGCTCACTTGGTTCCGCGAATATGAAATAGACATGTTTATAATCAACCAGTTGTGAATTTCACCGTCAAGAATTAAAATAAAACCCAATGTTTTATATAATAAACGGAAGTCGAAGCAATAAAACCGATGGTCGTTTTGTTTACAGTTTCTCTGTTTGACTCTCACGTATGCTGTCACGCTTGTCATCTTAAATTAAGAATGTTTATACATAAACGATTTTCAGTTGCCTTTCATATTACTAGTCCTTTTGTATAGTGGACCAAGAGTTATAAGGTTATATGGCCATCATAAAATCATCCCATTGTGTCGAAGTGAAGTTGTTTACAATAGAAAAGGTTTTAGGGTCGTAAATAACCTGTCCACTGCAGCTAGACCGGCTATTTTGGTTTTGTTCAGGGGCGGCTTTCACTAAATATGAAAATCCACCACTCTACTATTTCTTTACTACCTGCAGCCGCTGAAGGTTCCGAAATAACCACTCGCTCTGAAAGCCGGCTCTGTTAAATGTGAGCAAGAAATGTTTAGAAGACGATTTATTGCCAATCGGTAAGCTTAGTGCGAACCACACAAAGGGGGTATTTATATGCGGTCAACTACTTTTATGATGGTCATATAACCTTATACCTTTTGGACAAGTATACTTAAATTAGCAATATCATGTAGATGGTAAAACGCTAACCAAAATTTGTATAAAATAACATAGTCCTACATCTGTAGTTTACGACTCCGAGTTGAGTTTTTAAGTGAGTGAGTGAGTGAGTGAGTGAATCATGAATCACGAATCACGAATCACTAATCACGAATCACAAATCACAAATCACTAATCACGAATCACTAATCTCAAATCACTGATCACGAATCACGAATCACGAATCACTAATAACGGATCACGAATCACTAATCACGAATCACTAATCACGAATCACTAATCACTAATCACGAATCACTAATCACGAATCACTAATCCCTAATCACGAATCACTAAATCACGAAATCACGAAATCACTAATCACGAATCACTAATCACGAATCACTAATCACGAATCACTAATCACGAATCACTAATCCCTAATCACGAATCACTATTCACGAAATCACGAAATCACGAAATCACTAATCACTAATCACGAATAACTAATCACGAATCACGAATCACCAATCACGAAATCACGAATCACGAATCACTAATCACGAATCACGAATAACTAATCACGAATCACTAATCACTAATCACGAAATCACGAAATCACTAATCACGAAATCACGAAATCACTAATCACTAATCGCTAATCACTAATCACTAATCACGAATCACTAATCACGAAATCACGAAATCACGAAATCACTAATCACTAATCACGAATAACTAATCACGAATAACTAATCACGAATCACTAATCACTAATCACGAAATCACTAATCACGAATCACTAATCACGAATCACGAAATCACGAATCACGAATCACTAATCACGAATCACTAATCACGAATCACTAATCACGAATCACTAATCACTAATCACGAAATCACGAAATCACTAATCACGAAATCACGAAATCACGAAATCACTAATCACTAATCACTAATCGCTAATCACTAATCTATTTTTTTGTGATTCGTGATTCGTGATTCGTGATTTCGTGATTAGTGATTTCGTGATTTCGTGATTAGTGATTAGTGATTCGTGATTAGTGATTCGTGATTAGTGATTCGTGATTAGTGATTCGTGATTCGTGATTTCGTGATTCGTGATTAGTGATTCGTGATTAGTGATTTCGTGATTAGTGATTAGTGATTCGTGATTAGTTATTCGTGATTAGTTATTCGTGATTAGTGATTAGTGATTTCGTGATTTCGTGATTAGTGATTCGTGATTAGTGATTAGTGATTAGCGATTAGTGATTAGTGATTTCGTGATTTCGTGATTAGTGATTTCGTGATTTCGTGATTAGTGATTAGTGATTCGTGATTAGTTATTCGTGATTCGTGATTAGTGATTCGTGATTCGTGATTTCGTGATTGGTGATTCGTGATTCGTGATTAGTGATTAGTGATTTCGTGATTTCGTGATTAGGGATTAGTGATTCGTGATTAGTGATTCGTGATTAGTGATTCGTGATTAGTGATTCGTGATTAGTGATTTCGTGATTTCGTGATTTAGTGATTCGTGATTAGGGATTAGTGATTCGTGATTAGTGATTCGTGATTCGTGATTAGTGATTAGTGATTCGTGATTAGTGATTCGTGATTAGTGATTCGTGATCCGTGATTAGTGATTCGTGATTCGTGATTCGTGATCAGTGATTTGAGATTAGTGATTCGTGATTAGTGATTTGTGATTTGTGATTCGTGATTAGTGATTCGTGATTCGTGATAAGTACAAAATTTCACAACAATCCAGTACTTTCGGAGATTATCTGTCTAATAAAAATCCGGGACGGCAGACAGACGGACAGACGGACAGATAGACGGAAATGGGAGACCTATTTCTTCACCTTCTAGGTGTCATGAAAGATCGAGAAAACGTAAAAGTAGAGGAACTCGATTACAATACTTCATCTGCTTACGCTCGGGAAGTAAAAAGAATAAATTGAAAAACTGAAAAATCGAGAACGAAAAATTGAAAAATCAAAAACTGAAAAATCGAAAAATATAAATACCGAAAAATTGAAAAATCCAAAAAAAAATCAGATATCAAAAAATTGTAAAATCAAAAAATCGAAAAAACTCAAAATTGAAAAACAACTGATACATCGAAAATGTAAAATTTTAAAAATAGAAGAATTGTAGAAGAAAAACCGAAAATCGGAAAATTGAAAAATTCTAAAATTGAAATGCCGAAAAATGAAAAATCTAAAAATTGAAAAATCGAAAAACCGAGAAATCTAAATTGAAAAATTGAAACATTTAAAAATCAAGACAACCCAAAATGGAA